GCCAGAATGAGGAGGATGAGCACGGTTTTCACATTCATGTCTGCTGAGGCGCTGAGAGCTCCCGCAGTCCAGCAGAGCAAGTTTCCAGCTGCAGAATCCTCCCGGCAACTCGCCGACAGAAGGGGCTGGGTTTGGTTTTTCCCTCGTTTTCTCAACAGGGAACAGCCCAGAGGAGCTCACAGGGGCATGTTCTCAGACGTGCCTGGGATTTGCTGGGAACCATAAAAGGCAACTTGGCTCTGCTTCCCCAAGGGTCATAATTTTAAGTCAACTTAATGCTTCTGCATCTGTCCTTCCGCTCTCGTCCCACATGCTCCGCCACGGGCCTCAGAGAGGACAGATCCAGTCACTTGGGGGAAATAAATGCATCATCCTGAACCTCCTTCTCTTAACCCTGCAGATGCAAACGTCCAGGCCAGCAGCGGAGACCGCAAGGCCGATGCTCCTCTGTGCAGAGCAGTGCTGAGCACAGCGCCACGGCCCCACCGTCACCACCAACCTCTACGTCCCGAGCAGAGACATCGCAGCATCGCAGCTGCCAATCACCCCGCACGTGGGGACCACCAGTCCCACAGCCAGAAGGGAGGGGACCGCTGCTCATCACCCCCTCAAAGGTGCCTCCTGATCCTGGGCTACATCCTGGGATAGATGGGGCTGCATGGAGGGGGACGAGGGCTGCAGAGCCCACCCAGCATCCCGGCAAACGGGCACTGGCTGTGCTGTGCCTGTACCCATCCTCCCCCCAGAGCCCCAGGACTCCCCAGCCCGTCCCTGTGCGCAGATGGGCACCCAGAGCCTCGATTCTTGGCTGGTTTGTGGGTGCAGGAAACACAGCAGAGACCCAGCATCACGCCCCCAGCAGATGCTGCCATAAGTCATAAGAACGAGACACTCGAGAGAGGACTGGTCTAGAATTGTTTTCATTTTTTAACCTGAGATAGACACTACACAGCACTTGCTTCTGCAGCAGGAGAATGGGATTTTCTCCTCACTTTCCTCCTGTGACAGACTCAAATTCAGCAATTAACAGAGATAACCTAGACTCCTGTCTGGCATCACGCCAGGAAGATTAAGCTTCTGTCTTAAAGAGCACTATTTTTAAAGCAACGATAAAAAGTGAAGTCATTGCACACCTGGAAATTGAGACAACTTCACTAAAAAACTGAAAATCTGAGACAGAGCAGACAAAACCTTGTGCCTCTTGCTGTTTCCTGACACCGTCCTGTGGTGCTAAATCCTGCTCATATTTTGGAAACCATCATAAGTGAATGGGGGGAAGTTTGGCAAACAAGAGGCAGTTTTGGGCAGGCAGGCAATGGGGTTGATTTCACACGCCGTGAAGTCCTGCTCACTGGTGAAAAACACGCCGTCGTGCGAGTATATGGAGGGGTCCAGGTCATAGTAGTTGTATGGTCTCAGGAGAAAGCCGACTGAGTTTCCCACTGTCACAGTGTTGGGAATATCCTCAGAGTGTGGGATGTGAAGGAAACCAGCGGTTATCCAGGCAACCAAGTCCTAGGCAGGGAAGAGCCACAAAACCGCCGTTATTTCAGAAGCCTGAGGCAGCAGCAACTGAAATCTGCACAGGGGCATGGAAAGTTACAGGAGAGCAGGAGGGGACCTCTGCGGGCACCAGCCCGGACACATTTCCACATGCCAAGCTCCCTTCTGCTGGGTGAGATCCCCTCCCTTCCCCAAAGACCTGCCCGCAGCCACGGCCGCAAACGGGGCTCTGATTTATGTGCCGGGACCAAAGCACCAGGCAGATGCACACCAAGGGGCTGCTCAAACCCGCTTTCCTCACCCCCTGGGGCTGCTCCTCTCCCAGCTGAGCCCGTTGTCCTATGGGCAATGCTGGGGTCACTTGGCCTCTGGGGCAGCTCTGGGGCTTCTGCTCAGCCCAGGGCTGGGTATTACAGCTCCAGCCCAAGGGACCCCAGCTCACCTCATTGGTGATGGTCTCATTGTCGATGAAGTCAGCGAAGGCGACAGTGGGTGTCCAGGGGTCGTTCTGGTTGTAGATGCTGGTGCTGGTGGGCTCCTCCTCCTTCCTCCTGGTGACAGCCAGCTGGTACCTGAGGACAAGAGAAGAGATGGGAGCAGCCCCCTGGGGCAGGGCAGAGCTAAAAGTCAGCTCCCAGAGAGTCTGCAGAGCACAAGGCTGCTCCTCTGGAGAAACCCCAGCCCAGGAGAGCATCTGCCCTGTGCCTCCCCATCAAGGAACATCCCTGAGATGCCTCCCCCAGCCAGCAAGGCTGGGGACATCTCCGAGAACCTGCCACCCCAGTCAGAGCAGCCTGACCTTGCCCAGCTGATGGCTCTCTCCATGGAGCTGGCTTCAGGGACATGGTCCCCTGAAAAACTGGTGATCTGGATTCTGTAACCACGCTGGTGGCCCCACTTGTTTTTGCTGTTGGCTGCAAAGTAGATGTATCTGGGCATCTTGGACTGGAGCCGGAAGGCAGCCTGGTCCTCTGTGTCCAGGACTTTCTTGGTGAGTCGTGGCCGCTCTATCTGCTGCTCCGGGCTCCAGGGAGCCCGCGTCATCTCAAACGCCATGTCGTGGGCCACCAGGGAGTTTTTCACCCCTGTGAAGCAAAAGCAAAATCACTGAGGAGTGTCCCCAGAGTCCCTGTCCCCATGGACATCACTGCAGCCAGAGCTCGCTCTCCCCATCCTCCCTCCCTGCACCCCAGGCTCCAAGCACTGGCTCCTGCCCGTGAGAGCCGTTACAGCTCCACAGCAGCGCGGCCGTACGCTGCGTACGTTTGTCTGACCCAGGCAACACCACGTTGTGGCAGAAACCACCACCCATGGGGCCTCTCTCCCTCTGCAAGGGACAAGAGGGGAGCCTCGTCCCTGTGCAGAAGAACAGGTTTGCTTCCCAGTGCAAGCACAGTCTAATTAATTCTAGCGCCTGATGGCCCAGGGACCTGTTTGCACTCATCAGCACGTACCCGGTGAGCTGGAAAGCACCGGGAAGGGCCCAGGCTCTGCGCACATTTGCACATCACAGAACTGGAGCAGTGCTGTGCCGTTCAGGTCCTTCCACAAAGAGTCATGAGCCAGAGGCTCAGAGCAACAGGAGGGACACAAGAGCAAATAAATCCGGAGACAAGCGCATTGTCAGCACAATCCTAACCCAAACGTGGAAAGAAATAATTGCATAAGGACCAAAAAATGTCACATTTTGGGAGTCTAAAAGTAAGCAGAGAAGGCACGAAGGAGAAACAAGACCCAGACCTACCTCCCACGTCCAAGTC